CTAGAAATACGAAACTGTAGGACGCTACTACCATGGTGCCCTAGTATATTAGGGAGTAATTTGTGCTTCAATTTTAAATTTTATAAAATCTCTATACATACATCTGAATTTGTGTTAAAATCACGAAAGACAATTAAAACTTTCATTATAATTTATATTTTTTTTTAATAAATATTGTACAGACTGTGGAGCAATATTTTCGGATGTAGTTTTACGTAATGATTGCCCCCCGATCATGTGATCAACCGATATTTTTAATCTTTGAGTCATAAACATATGATTCCACACCTGTTAGTAGGAGTATTTTGACAGACTCATAATTGCGAGAAGCATTTACTTTGATTGTCACCAAGCACATTAACTGCCCAACAGGCCTGCAACTTTAAGTTTTACAGAAGCCGCTGTACCAAATCGTTGGTTACTTTGAACGCCTACCATTCTCAGTTGTGTTTCGTTGTTTGGTTGGGGTTTTTTTTTGGATAACGAATCTTGCACGATGGAAAGACATAGACCAGCAGTAATTTATGACAAGGTCAATTTGAAAGACCTTCCGAAATTATCGGACTTGGATGCTCAGGTGCAGGATCTTGTAAGGAAAAGTAGTTGGTTTGAACTGTATGGATTTGACTGGTGTGTTTGTGCTTTCAGCTTGTTGATGGTGCCGTTAGCTTTAGTTATTCTTCAGGGCGACTCCTGGATTCATCTGAGTACCGGAGCTCTTCTCTATGGCTGGATTCACATGGTATTGGCAACAAAATGTGGACACGCTGCTGCTCATGGGGCCCTGATGAGCTCAACAAGTGGGCATAGACTTCTTTCAGTTTTTTTTGTTGAATTCATAGGAACGTTTTCAGAGGAACTTGCATATGACATCCATATCAAAACCCATCACCCATACACAAATATTATTGGTCTTGGAGATTCAAGCACTTGGAGGGCCCCATTTATACCAGCTTTTATATACATGTTCATTACACCACTGGCTGTCCCATTCCTTGCACTTTTGGTATCCATTGCAGGACTTTTTGGCCAATGGTTGAAGCTGCTACGTTTCTTGATAATTGCAGGAATTGGTTTGACCATTAACCTTTTGCTTCTGATGAAAGTCTCAGGTTTCTCACTCATTGGGGCCATTTTTATGATTTGCATAACCAGAGGTATATGGTCCATTCCTTACATTCATATCAACATCTTTCAGCATATTGGACTTCCCATGTACTCAAGAGAGAGCAAGCCAAAGAGAATCTATCAGATGGCTACTGGAGTTCTGAACTTGTTCAGAAACCCACTACTAGATTATGCCTTTGGACACTCAATTATTAACTGTCATGTTGAGCACCATTTGTTTCCGAAGCTGTCAGATAATATGTGTTTAAAGATCAAGCCAATTGTCGCCAAATTTTTGAAGGAAAATGGTTTGCCGTACAATGAAGATAGCTATATGGGACGCCTATGGCATTTTCTTGACAAATATAAAGAGCTAATGGTACATGCTCCACCCATTACTCATTTTGTAGGTCTCCAGTAAAATTCTGTCTCAGAAATACATCGTTTTATTTTTAAATTATGCTTCTAAGTGTTTTCAGTGCTAAAGTCAGTTGTGCAGTTTTAATCAAAGTTTTATGCATATTTTGTTTTTAAAATGTACTTGTAAAATTGCTCAGAAATGTCATTTTATGTTTTGTCTTTACAAGTTAACATCTTGTAATCAGCTGAATAGGAAATATTGTAAGGGTCATTACAGGTCATGACTACAAAGAAAGATACTGTTAACATAGTTGAAAAGTTACTGTTTACAATTTTATGTTAATTTTATTTTGGCAGAAGCATTACAGTTTTGTTTATACATTTATGTGATAAAGACAATACAGTTACCTATTGAATCATTTCAGTGAGTATTTAATGGATGATTGTCAATGTTGAAAATAAATGTACGTGAAATAATAAATCATTGGGTAATATTTTGCTTTAAATGAAACTAAGACATTAATTTGATGTATGATAATTAATGTACTTTAATGTGAATTTAATGTTACTCACAGCATGTTTTCATTTTCATACCAAACTGATTCCAAATATTATGAATGTTTGTATAAATTAGTTATGTTTGCCACTAATTGATTTCAGATATTAGATATATTTATGAACCTTTAATATTGTGTTTGACATGTGTCACATATGGATTAAACCAAAAAAGGTAATTATTTTAAGTACATTTACTAGAGTATGTTAATGTATTATGTACATTCATTCCTTTGTAAGAGAGAATGATCCTAAAATTTTCTGGAGAGCAGGATTTTTTTTGCTTGATATGTTCATAATTTCTCAAATCCAGCATGGGTGTTGGCATCCCACTCAAAGTTTCCCTGCTTAGTAAATTGGAGGCTTCATTGTCGATACTTCAGATTTTTATCTACAAGCACCCTAATGTCAGAACAGTATCTTTTACAAGGTGTTGTTTATATGTAAACTTAATCTTCCCATTTTAATTACAGTTATTAGATATAAAATAATACAAAAATTTACATTCATAGCAAATTCCTCTTTTGTATGGTACTGACCATTTTATACAGTGATAATGGTTGCAATTAATCCAAGATATTTTTTTTTCGTCTATCTCAAGAGTAAGTCAAGATAATCATTTCTCTTCTAATAATATGGATATAATGTGGTGTTAATTTTCTACAAATCAGATCAAGATATTTTTTCCAAATATTTGAGAGGTAAAGATTTTTAAAAGGTAGGAAATTCAAAAACAAACATGACCCAGAAAATGAAATTGTTGGTTTCCTGATATAACTGCAGCATACTATGGACATGTCATGGACTGTTCTGAATTAATGCAGTAGTTTATTTATAATTACCTCAACAAGCATTTATACAAGTCTGATAAGAGTTTAAAGTACATCAGATTTAAATAGATAACGTTATCCTTAATCTTGTTGGACTATATTAAGTTTAATACCACCTATATATATATATATATATATATATATATATATATATATATATATATATACCACCAGTTATACACCTTTTAGTCCACTATTTGTTCTAGGTTCAAAGTTTTGTTATATATTTTGACCTTATTTAAATGAATTATGCAGTAATTTTGAAGTATGAAGTAAATAATATGATAATTATTTTTTAAATAACTTAATATATGTTTTTTATTGTGATATTTACACTAAATTATCAATATGCCATAACTGGTCAGATATGCAATGTTGCAGAATTTTACTAAGTGCAATATCTTGGAAAGCAGTTACCACTACTTATTTTAATAGTGTACTCTTTTAGTATACCTTAATTTCATTATATGTCACATCAAGAGGGGCTAATTTTTTGCATATTGTGACTTTGCTTGTTAATGGAATAACTGCCAACCACTATTTCAGTACTGATATCTTATCATAACAAAAACTATGTACCCAAGTGAGTTCTGATTAGGGGTGGGCTACTGTATTTATACATTTTTATCTGACACATTAGCACAGCAAGAATAATGCAATAAATGTTCGGTAGGGGATGTATACCGTATTCATCATGTTTTGTGATAAATGTTCTGTAAGGTATGACTATACATAATATATGTTTCAAGATAATCAGATATTGCTTACCAGTGTGCTTACCATTTGCTTTTTGTTGTAACTCCTTCTGATAATACATCCTTCATACTCAGCTGTGGCTATTATTGGTATTACTAAAATCAAGATTTTGGGGATGTAATGGTGGGACTTGTGGAATTATTTAAGGATGTGGGGACTTGTGATGGAAGTTCTATGGTGATGTAAGGGTAAGGATTCATGATGGCATTATTCAGGGATGTGAATGGGGACTTGTGATGGAAGTTCTATGGTGATGTTAGGGTAAGGATTCATGATGGCAGTATTCAGGGATGTGAATGGGGACTTGTGATGGAAGTTCTATGATGATGTTAGGGTAAGGATTCATGATGGCAGTATTCAGGGATGTGAATGGGGACTTGTGATGGAAGTTCTATGATGATGTTAGGGTAAGGATTCATGATGGCAGTATTCAGGGATGTGAATGGGGACTTGTGATGGAAGTTCTATGGTGATGTAAGGGTAAGGATTCATGATGGCAGTATTCAGGGATGTGAATGGGAACTTGTGATGGAAGTTTTTAAGTGTGTAAGGGTTGCCTGATTTCAATCTTGTACCCACACATTGCCAAACATGTAACAGGGTTCTTGCTCAAATTCAGTTAATTTTTTACTTCTGAGATACACAATATTGGTAATAAATATATACATACATTCATAAATGGGTTTAGTAGACAGTAGCCATGATTTGTACACATTAATGGCTCAAAAGGTATGTATTGATATTTTTTGTGCTAAACACACACTATCTTTTGAAGTATTACACTTAATTGTAGGGATTTCTAAAGCTTTTGCATGTAGTTACCTAGTTGAACCAAATGGCTGTCAAAATGTATGTGTTTTTATTTATTACCAACTGTCATGTATAATTATCTTCATAAATAAACAATGCATTTAGGATGAACACTATATATGTTTATGTGTGAGTCATATCCAGTCATTCTGATGGAACACTACACTTGTTCACATGTGAGTCATATCCAGTTATTCTGATGGAACACTACACATGTTCACATTCGAGTCATATCCAGTCATTCTGATGGAACACTACACATGTTCACATGTGAGTCATATCCAGTCATTATGATGGAACACTACACATGTTTACATGTGAGTCATATCCAGTCATTATGATGTGTGATGTTATTATGATTTGTAATGTAGCTTTAACAAATTTTCAGTCATATTGCTATGATGTCTGTAGTGTGGCAAATTATAGTGATGTCTAGCACTGGGGCATCATGCTGCAGACATGTAGCATGTTGTCCCACCCAGTCATATTATCCTGACACCAGGCCGACCAGTCCTAACACAAACCTTTTAACGCTGAGAGACAAGCAAGGAAACTGTTAGTACCATTTTTGTAACTCTTTGATATCACTTGACTGGGGATCAAACCCACGACTTCCCGCATCCGAGTCAGATGCTTTAACCACTAGGCCAGTGGAGTGGTTGAATCCTTATGATTACCACTACATATGTGAATCATTATGATTACCACTACATATGTTCACATGCCAGTCATTTGTTATGAATACTACATATGTTCACATGTAAATTATATCTAATCATTATGACCAATACTACATATGTTCATGTGAATCATATCCATTAATTATGATAAACACTATATATGTTCATATGTGAATCATATCCATAAATGATGAACGCTGCATATGTTCACATGAATCATATCCAGTAATTATGATGAATACTACATATGTTTACATGTGAATCATATCCAGTCATTTATGTTGAATACTGTATATGTTCACATTTGAGTCCTCCAGATATTAAGATCTACGATCAAGATCTGGGTTTATGCAGTCGGTTTGGAATAATTTTTTGAACAAACAACATAAATGCTGATTTGTTGGTGTATTATGCAATTGTGTGTCTGTGTTATTTTGGAATTCGCTTTTTGGTAAGCTTCAGATTTAACAATGCAATGACATTTTTTTGTTCAATTCCATAAAAAAGAATTTACTTTAAATCTGTGATGATTTTGAAGTTTGACCATTGATTTTGCTGCTTAATAATGTATTAACAATTCTTATGTTTTTATTTTTGTAAATGCAAAACAATAAAAGTTAATTTCTTGAATGGTTCTTGTCAGTAGTTCTTGGGCTCATTACATGGTCACTGTGGTTGGACTGATCATATGTAAAAGTCCACCACTCTCCAACCATCTTTGATTTAATAACTGTGTGATTTAACTGTAATGTGATATTTAATAGGCCAGTAGGTTTAACTCTGAGGGCTGGTATGGGATCTAGTGGTCCAACTACATGGTCACTGGGGTAAAAATCCACCACTCTCCAGCCATCATGAATTTGATAACTCCAGGATTTAATCAGAAACGTAATATGAAAAAGGTCAGTAGGTTTAACACTGAGGGCTAGTATGGCATGTATTGGGCCCATTACATGGTCACTTGGGGCTGATATTGGATTTAGTGGGAATTTAACATTGTGAGCCATTAAGGAGATTTAGCACACTTAATGATAATCAAAATGCATCATTATCAGATATCCTTACCTGAAGATACACTCTAATGTCTGTGGACTTAACATATAAAATTGAAGATGGCCACCATAATGTTAAGTCTATGGCATTATTTCTATATTTTAACCTGATGGCATCAACAGAGAGATCTCATGATATGCATATGACGTGTGGAGTCCCATTGTATATCCCATTGTATCTAGTTTGCATACAATGTGTAGAGTCTGTAAGTATATCCTATTGTATATAGTGTGCATATAATGTGTGGAGTCTGTAAGTATATCCCATTGTATCTAGTTTGCATATAATGTGTAGAGTCTGTAAGTATATCCTATTATATCTAGTTTGCATATAATGTGTGGAGTCTGTAAGTATATCCCATTGTATCTAGCTTGCATGTGATGTGTCGAGTCTGTAAATATATCCCATTGTATCTAGCTTACATGTGATGTGTGGAGTCTGTAAGTATATCCCATTTTATCTAGCTTGCATGTGATGTGTCGAGTCTATAAGTATATCCCATTGTATCTAGCTAGCAATTGCTTTTTGTGTGGAGTCTGTAAGTATATCCCATTGTATCTAGTTTGTATATGATGTGTGGAGCCTGTAAGTATATCCCACTGTATCTACCCGGTAGTTTGCATATGATGTGTGAAGTTTGTAAGTATATCTCATTGTATATAATTTGCATGTGATGAGTGGAGTCTGTAAGTATATCCTATTGTATCTAGTTTGCATGTGATGTGTGAAGTTCATAAGTATATCCCATTGTATATAGTTTGCATGTGCTGTATGGATTTTGTAAGTATATCCCATTGTATCTAGTTTGCGTGTGATGTGTGGAGTTTGTATGTATATCCCATTGTATATAGTTTGCATGTGATGTGTGTAATCTGTAAGTATATCCCATTGTATCTAGCTTGCATGTGATGTGTGAAGTCTGTAAGTATATCCCATTGTATCTAGCTTGTATGTGATTTGTGAAGTCTGTAAGTATATCCCATTGTATCTAATTTGCATGTGCACTTAAAAAATTTAAAAAGTTTGCATATGCATACATAAATCCTTTCTAAGACATGTTTGTGTACATACACTTAATAAAGTCTTTTAAGAAGCAAAACATTTCAAAAATAAATTCACCCCTCCAAAAGAATTTAAAGCAAAGAAAAATAATTTTAAACTACATTATGAAAAGAAAAATTTACCCGACCAAAATGTACCTACATTTCTCATTAAAAGTTATAAAATTATTAAAACATATAATGTGTAATTCATGGGTTGGCAATAATGAGAAGTATTTTTATTTCTAAAAAACTTGGGTGGCACTGAGATGGTCATTTTGTGTCTGCACCTCCAGTGCTGGGCTATGCAGGCATCATTTCTATGCATAGACTGGTTTCCACCTCAAGGATTAACTGAGATTGACAGGATGAGGTTGAGTAATATAAAAAGTAAGACAAAAAAAACACAAATTACACCAAAAAACTAGTTTAAAAATATTTTATAATTTAATATTTATTAATGTTTAAGCAAATTTATATAATGAAAGTAAAAGGTTGAAACAAATTTAAGAATAATTACAAAAAAATAATTTAATAAAAAATGTATATGAAAGAAATTAAAAATGCAAAACAAAAGATTACAAATATTTAAAAAATTTAGAGAAAAGAAATTAAAACATTAAATGAAAACTTTTGAGCCATAAAAGGTTAAAAGCAAAATATTTCAAACAAACAATAACTTGGTAAAACCAAAATGAAAAGAAGAAAAGTTTTTAAAAAATAAAAAAATAAAGTTAAACCAAAAGATTTAATACTAACACAATTTTAACTCCCAGAAATTGCATAAAGCAAATTTTTTAAAATTGTAAACAATTAAAACAAATAAAAAAATTTTAAACAGAAAAAATCTGGAGAAAACAAAACTTGAAAATTAAAAAATTAATGTCACATTTACAAAACATTATATTTAACATGTTTAATAGTTTTAAACTATAACTAATTAGTATATTTTAAAAATTAATTTAAAATAAAAAATAAATATTTACAAAATAGATTTAATTAGTTTAAAATTGTACAAAACATTTAACAAATTTAAATAATTGTAGAAATCAGCTGCCAGATAATGCATTTGGACATTCAAATATTTATTAATTATCATGTTGAACACTACTTGTTTCCGAAGCTATCTCATATTGTATGATTGAAGACCAAGGCAATTACTTCCAAATTCATGAAAGAATATGGTTTGCCATGGGATGCTATGGTATTTACTTTATAAAAATACATCAATGGCGCATGCTCCATGTTAACTCATTTAGTAGGTTTGAAATAAAATAGTCTCAAAAAGACACTTATTTGATTTAAAAAATATGCTTCTAGTGTGTTCAAGTCAGCTGTGCCGTTTGTGTTTAACCGAAGTTTTGGTACATCATTTTATCGTAAAAGTTGAGTAAGTGGAAAATTGTTTTCTGAAGTTTTCAAAAATGGCATTTTGAGTACTGTTTTTGCAAGATAACATCTTATAATAAGCTTCATACTAAATCTTCATGGCGTATGAATACATTGACACATTACAATGAATCATACTAGTTCCATACGAGTAGTTATTAGCTAGTGAACTAGTTACCATTTACAATCGGATGAGAGGGTCTGCTATTTGTGTACACATTACTGTGCTGTTACATACTTATGCATGTTTTTGATTGATATAAAAATTTACCCATCAGCAAAATTAACAGAATCCATGTATTTAGTCTGTATAAAAATGAAGAAGATTATAACATTTTAATTATTTGTAAATGAAAACATACACTACTAGGTGACAGTAAAAGTTTTTGAAGCTAAGACACTCAGTTTAATGGATTAATATAAATATTGCTCCTGTAAAAGGGCCCGAAGGGGCCAGCAAAATACATTCCTTAAAAATGCACTAGTAATAAAATATATTTAATCAATTATTGCCAAATATTTGTATAAGGGTAAGAGGGACTTATCAGAAAACGCAGCAGCCAGATATTTTGGCATGCATCCACGATCGGTACAATTTGTCGCAAATAAAGCATGCTAATCTGTATATTCAATAAAATACAACCAGCAGATAATATTTGTATACGTCAAAAACTTCAAAACAATAATTTTTACTGTCAATTTTGCCAACGTTTTTGTTTAGCCATAACAACAGTTATGGATCCACCTTCACTGTCGCAGCTTTCAGTGTCACTTTTGACAGAATCAAATAACAATGGTTCACAATTGCATTACACAATCGTCCATACTTTTATTTCTTTCGTATTCGTGAGAAAATTTGGTACTTATGTTTTCGATTGAACGTGCAAGACATGCAAATAGCTTTACCTGTGTGTCGTTTACCATTGCCAAGGATTCTAACATAGACTTATAAATGGATTTGATGAATCGATAATTGGAAGGTAATATGTATTTATTTTCAAATTTTCGTTGTTGTAATGATTTAAAATCACACAATCTTTTTAGGATCAAGATCATCGGATATCTTTAATCCATCATGTTTTAAGTTTAAATAGCAGAAATAAAAGCAGTAATGATTTCATAGTTCATTTTATCTATCAATATATATATATATATATATATATATATATATATATATATATATATATATATATATATATATATATATATATATATATATATATATATATATATATATATATATATACAGAGAGAGAGAGAGAGAGAGAGAGAGAGAGATTGTAAAAATTGTATTCCTCTTTATGGGGACTGTTTTTGAGGATGATTATGTTTTAAATACAGATTATACAAACAGACACACACAGGTTTTATATATGATGTATTATTATATACAGATGCTTATGATTTATATACAGATGATTATGACGGTGGAGACATAAACTTATGCTAACGGGGAATTTTATACTCTCTCTCTCTCTCTCTCTCTCTCTCTCTCTCT